CGTGCTTTTAAGAAATATATATGTATGCGCCACGTGTGTGTGTGTACTCGGTGCATTATATATTTATTCGCAACCGAAGCAGCATGCGAAGAAAGATTCAACCCTGCCATGCACCGCGGTATACGCACGAGCTTTCCAGAGCCAGTTTTGACCCTTTCTAAAGCGAGTAAAGTAAATTTTGATCGAGCCTTTTTTGTCGGGATCCTCGAATGACATCCAAAGCCGATCAGTTAATACATCCTACTACTATCCTAGTCGAGCTGCAAGTAGTGCGACTATAGGCTTAACTGCGCGCTACGCGCCCCCTCGTCCCGCTTTTTTATCCTCTGTGCGCTTGTATTTCATTCGACTCGCTCTCTCTCGCTCTTTTCTCTCTTTTTTTATTTAAAAAAAAAAAAAAAAAAAAAAAAAAAGAATAGCAGAAGCCGTGGCGCGTGGGATATAGCGAAGGTTTTCCCCCGCGAGTTATGAGATCTGCGTGCTACTACCGCTGCTGCCGCGCCATACGTGTTTCCGATCGCCCTGCTGCTGCTCTTTTTTGGTCACCACCAGCCACGCGCTAAAATAAAAGCCCTGTTTTACCTCGTTAGTAAAAGTTTTATGGATTGATTTTCCAGTATATGCGAGGATTAAACATGCGCAGAGTCGGTATTGAAACGTATATGCTTTCGTTTTATATTTAATCGTATACCTTGTTCGATTTTAAAAAGCAACTTTTTCATGCAAAAAAAATTTGGTTAGAGTGAAACTCCTCAGGCTCAGTCGGAAATACTTACACAAATCTTCATTAATTCATGTGAATAAAAATGAATACATGTTAATGTGTATTTAAAGTATATTTTAAAACATGAATTTTTCAAAAAAAAATGTGGGTTTTTTTGTGGTATTTCGTTGAAGTTCCATCTCTTACGAGTGTTCTTGCACAGCTGCTCATTGAACAAGATTCATCGTCATAAAATGTGTCACATTTGATTATGAGCTTTTTGATTCCATCAACAGATGGAGTATTGTAAACTCGCAAATAGTAAAAAAATTTCAGTAGAGTATTTAAAATTAATTAGTATAATTTCAATAGAAAAAAATATGAGAATTTCCGTTGAATTTTTTCATTCATGGTAACATTGTTCCATATAATTTGGAGTCACATTCAATTCCATACATCTTTCTGTAGTCCACAATCGATTTCATACATCAGTAACTAAAATATAACGACTATCTCATCAATATATTCGTCAAACTTTCTATTTTCTTTCGCTTGTATTTGCAGATTGTTATAGCACGGAAAAAAAGGCTATGTTCGGCGAAGCTTAAATTATCCCTTTGTTAGCGAAGATCTCGAGTAATATAATAAATACACGTATTACAGTCGGTGGCTATATCGGTTCCGGCCCGTTTCATAATTGAATCCTCTTGAAGGGATTGTTATTTTCATCGGGGATCCATTTGCTCGGGCACGGGCAAGAATGTCTGCGCGACGCTCGCAGTAGTACTCGTCGGGGTACGTCTGCCGCTGCAGTCTGGAATGAGAATAAGGCAACAGGAAAAAAAAAGGAATGAAGAAGTAGGAAGAAGAATAGAATCTCTTGAATAAATACACGCTCACGGGACATGGAGTGAGGTGGGGGGTGGGGAAGGCTAAGTGTCAGAGAGAGCTGTAGCTTACACTTGGCGCGCCTAGCCAGCGAATATCCATATAGTTTTTTGTGCCGGCCGACAGTCCGAGTGCGCCCGCACAAGGGTATAAGAGCTATGGTAGGCACTTACTGCACTCGCGCGCGCGCGCGCGCTTAGGTAGTATAATAGAATTTTCCAGCATATCATCCGCCTCCTACCATTGGTCGTTGGCGCGCATGCAGAAAGAGAGAGAGACAGAGATAGAGGGAAGTTCCGAGCTTGCGAACTTTGCCGTGCGCGCCCCACCCTCCCCCTGCACAGCCTGCAGAGAACCTCGCCACGGGCAAGCAAGCACTGCTGCTGGGTCTACGTTTCCAACTGCAGGCTTTTTGTTATGTCCGGCAAACACATCCTCTTTGCTTTTTGCCCATTGCCCGAGTACATACATTTTCATGCATGCACGCTGGATATATATATAGAGCGAACCAGGAGCAACAGAGGTAGTAGGTATAGGTGCTTTACGCCGTGCGCGACCTTTGCCATTGGACTTGCTGCTAACGTCCGCATAAAAGGATATAAGTGCGAAGGGAGACGGGAGCAGGGGCGACGAGGGGGGAAGCCGAGGCGGGGGTAGGACAGCGAAAATCGTTGAACCTATATGGCTTGCAATTAAAATAATGGACACTTCGACTGGAATAAAAAGGCACTTCAACGTCGATGCAGTGCGCATAGATATAGCTTCGCGTGCACACACACACACACACATACACGCGCGCGCGCGCGTCCACGTACAAAGGATGCCACTGCGGCTGGGGCAGAGGTGAACAGCTTCCTCTTCGCCCTATTAGCCATCCACTCGATATCGCGTCGACTTCATCGTTTCACTATATATAATGCTGTTATATATATTCAGCGGAGTATGTGCGTGCGCGTGTGTGTCTGTGTATATGGAAGCTCGGGTACTTTTTTGCACTACTCGGTCGCGTTAGCTACGCTAGCAAGCGAGAGAGAGAGAGAAAAGGGCAATTGAGCTTGATTAGTTCGGCACGACCTCGAGGCGTGCTGCGCAGTGCAGCAGTATAGGTGCTGGCATCGGCGACGCTTGCGACGGTATAATAGAGATTAGGAATTGTTATTGAAGGATTAATTTTATGCGATAGGCACTTAAGCCAGAGTAGAGAGCTGCTTTTTTATGCTATACGACTGCTGATTTTTCGAGAATTTTTTTCCTTGCTCCATTCTCTGTCTCCTGCGCAGCTACTACCCTCGCGTAAAAGTGTATAATGTTCCGTATATAGGAGAAAATCGCGCGCGCGTCGTGCGCATGAAATTGCATGTTTATGAGAGAAATGAGCTTGCGAAAGCGAACTTACTTTATACTGCGCTCGATAAAATATTGATTACTTTCTCGAGTTTTAGAGTTGTTTTCGGAAACTTATGATAATATTTATCCATCGGCGGAGACTTTTTTTTCACGATGGCATAAAAACACGCGGCGCTGTGCGCTCGACGCTGATGCGGGGGGGGGGGGGGGGGGGGGGGGGGGGGGGGGGGGGGGGGGGGGGGGGGGGGGGGGGGGGGGGGGGGGGGGGGGGGGGGGGGGGGGGGGGGGGGGGGGGGGGGGGGGGGGGGGGGGGGGGGGGGGGGGGGGGGGGGGGGGGGGGGGGGGGGGGGGGGGGGGGGGGGGGGGGGGGGGGGGGGGGGGGGGGGGGGGGGGGGGGGGGGGGGGGGGGGGGGGGGGGGGGGGGGGGCGAGGCGAGTACCCTGTGATAAGCTATCGGTGCTCCTGACGGCATAAATCAATCGTGTCAATACGTATCAAATTATATCGCTCGTTGTTATTATTCATTATGCCGATTTTGCGATGTGAAAATATTTAGTTTTGATACGTCGCCGTCAAGTGCATGAATTATATATGCGCGCGGGGCTCACGCAATTATACAAGAGCAAAGCGTTGCGCACCCGATCGGGAATACTCCATTGGAAATTTATCATTTGCATTGGAGGCCATTATATACGATTCATAATGCATCACATAATGTGTGTGTGCGCGCCTCGTGCGATAATCTTTCTCTCGTTCTCTCTGGGTGGCGCGCGGGCCAATAATTTTCGGTGTGTCCGCGAAATTTGACATAAATTACGAATAAATCGGCACGTTTCGTTCGATACTTAGATATTTATATGGGCGTGCAACTGTACACAAAGCAGCACTGCGACCAGGTAGAGATATTCATTTCGATGCGCGCGATTCGTGTTATTACATGCGATATTCATTCGTTTCAAAAATCATGTACCCCGCACAGAGAGATCCCAGTGCGGGAAGAAATGCCATGAATTTGCATTGGCTCGTGTATACCTGTGCTGTTTTGCCGCATGTATATGTAAAATCGATCCGTAATCGTAAATCATGCACTGCAGCAGCAGCAGCAGCGTCAGTGTAATGCTGAGGAGCTCGATGCGCCACGACCCCGCAACATTCAAAAGTTAATGTGTATCTCGTGGTTTTTGTCAAAATTTATTCGGGTCATATTGGTCGCACTGTGTGTGCAGCTCTCCTGTCCAGAGAATTGACGTTTCATTTTGACTTTGCGTTATGCATTATTATACATCATTGTATGCATACCCTCTCAGACGTTCAGCCAATATGTCGATCCTGTAATTTTGGAACGCGAAATGAAAATTACTCCAAAAATCATTGAATCGAATCCCCGTGCATACATACATAATACACGTCCCGCGTTCTGTAGTTTGGACAATCAGTTTGTTATACAAGAAAAATATAAATTTATTTCACTACACTATGGCTGCGTACCTAAATTAAATATGTTACGATTCAATCGTACACGCGCGTGTATACTGCCCCCGCGTTGCACAATCAATAATATCGATGCGCGCACGTGCGCGTGTATCGTGTACAAAGTGCGTGCATATATACGTAATATGGAAATGATGAAAATTGATGACTGCACTCGGCACCAGCCAGAGGAATATCGTTTACGTATCACATGGGCGACGACGAATAGTATAGCTAGCTAGCTATGCTATAGTACATGTGGCTGCACGCGCGTCCGCGCCACCGAGGTAATAATCACACATTCTAGGTGTGTGCACGCGCTACTGACAGGCTAATTTTATTGCCAACGAGTCCGCAGAAGCTCGTATACCTATAACCCCATGCAGCTGCGCCGCGCAGTTTCGAATTGTCACATCCGCACATCGGTTATCGAGCTAGCTATAGCCTATATGGCCCGGCAATAGCAATGAATATACATTACCCACACCCACACAGATGTTGTCTTACATTGATATAGCAGTTATAATTTGCCTTTAGTGCTCCGCGTGCATACAATATTTATAATTGCCTCTCTTTTGATTTGTTTTTGCAGAAACGTGGAGGACTACATGCGCGAGCACGAGGAGGCGTCGCGCAACATCCAGCAGTACCTGTCGAATCCCATCAACGCCTACCTGCTGGTCAAGCGCCTGACGACGGACTGGCGCCGCGTCGAGGAGCTCATCACCGAGGACGTGGGCAAGGCCTTCGTCGCCAACATCACGAACTCGCGTAGTGATCTCAAATTCCCCACCGAGGAGGATCTCAATGGCGCGGCGGTAGCCCTCATGAGGCTGCAAGACACCTACAAGCTCGAGACCGCACAAGTCGCTCGAGGTGTACTCAACGGCGTGCAATACAGCACCGGACTCTCGGGTATGTGTACGATTACAATTTTTCCAAGGATTGTACAGATTATCTTTGCAATGGACATGAAAAAAAATTATGAAGCTTTTTTCTGCTAATACGAATGCAAGTGATGATATGAGTGTAGAAGAAGAGCTGCGCTTTTTACTCGAGTGCGCTTGTATTCATCGCGCATGAAATCTCATAATAAATGTGTGATGCTAGCGCGAATATAAGGAACAAGAGTATAACTCGTATGAATATGTGCAAAGGCGCGTATTATACATGATATGAAAAATTTTTCAAAAGCGCGTTTACGTATAATACGCGTTTCCAACCAGTGCCGCAGCTATATCTATACCGTAATCTTTTTATAAAAACGCAAGTATGCCGCTAGCTATTGGATATGTATTATTACACTCAGTATAAAATATGCGCAGCTGCGTCGAAGAAAAAATTACGCACGTGTCTGTACAAATTTAATTAGCTCTCGCGTAACGAAAATAAAATTTCGTCTACTTGAGCTTGCAAGCTCGTAGCGTATACCTCTTTGTACGTACGTTCAAATTATACGCCTCTCTTTCTCGTTTGAGGTAATTCGGCATCGTCTTTCATCGCACGCCGCTAATCTTATCATCCATTCCGGAATAATAACCCGCGCGCGCGCAATTTCGGGCTTAAAGGCCAAGACAGTATACGGTGCAACCTAGCAGCAACAAACAATAACGAGCAACAACAAGGAGCCTTGCCCGCTGCTCTATCCTCGCCACGACATTCCTAATCTTCCTACTTGTATGTGTACCCAGTGTTGCTACTGCTGCCGCGGCGCAGTGCATACCTGTGCCGCACGGCAGTGTATATAACGCGCGTATTTGCCCGCCGCGCGTCTTAAGGCTTTGTTTGCCTTATGGCCAGTATAGGTCCTACAATGACTGCATAAATGCACACACGCTATATACACAATATGGATTATAAAGCAAAGATGATGTATAGCGTATATATGTATAGCTTCGCTTTTGTGCTTTGCAGCGGGCGACTGTTTCGAGCTCGGCCGTCAGTCATACAACAACGGCGACTATTACCACACCGTGCTCTGGATGCAGGAGGCCATGGACCGTATGCAGGAGGAGCAGAACCATACGAGCGTTTCCAAACCCGATATACTCGAGTATTTGGCCTTCTCTACATACATGCAAGGTACATATACTAATAATAATAATAATAATAATAATAATAATAATAATAATAATAATAATAACAATTCAGCTCTCTCTCTCTCTCTCTCTCTCTCGGGTTCGATTTACGCATTCAGTTTGAGCTAAGGCGAAAGATAGAGCGAAAGCTTCCATACTGTCTCGACATAGTTTTTGGCGTTAAATACATAAAATATCCAAACAAAAGATCTAGGAAATTATTTTTCAATTTCAAAAATACTTTTGTCAAAGGGCGAGGGCAAAGAAAAATTGTTCGACATAGAAAAAGATCAAGATCGCGTCGAGTAGGAGGGCCAACGATGAGAAAAAGCTCGAAAAATAGAATTAAGCGTCGACTGATCCAAGCCAATTGCCGATATAAAAATCTAATTAAGCTCCGCCGTAACCTTATACCTGCACGAGAGCACTTCACTATTATATACCATCGGTCTCCTTTTTCTTGCCCGGGCGAGTGGTAGTAGTAGTAGCCACCTCGCAACCAGCGTATGTTATTCTTGCCAATGGATTTCCACGCGCGCGCAATTTTTTCCTCGACTATTAAATTGATGGAGCGAGAGGGCGGGGTGAGGGCAAGCGAGGCAAGGATGGAAGAAGCAGAAGAAATAATACGGCAACATTTTCACGTACTTCTCACTCTGGCAAATACATGTCGCATCCTCGTAGTTTCGCATCAATCACTGCTCTCTACCCTCGCTCTGTCTCTCTCTCTTCTGCCGCCACGCACTACCTGTACATATACACACGCGCGCGCATTAAAGCCTGCGCGCGAGACTGTCTATCTCTCTCTCTCTTACTCTCTACTCTTCTTACTGGAGCTGCTGCTGATGGTAGAAACAACATCCACACGTGAACGGCATACGCAATCAGCTAAAATCCCAGCCACCCTCTGCTATACTACTCGAAGCCGCGTGCACAAACACACGCATACACTCGCAAAGAAATAGTCTCTCTCCGCGTTACGAATAATGCACGACGCGCGCCCACTAGACTACTTCCTCGGGCTTGCACACTACGAGAAGTCGACTTACTCTATACGTACGGCTGGCTTGACTCAGACGCGCGCTCGAGAGCGCTCTACTCTTGCAGCTGCAATGAGCGGAGCTTCTGAAAAATTCACACATCCAAGCTTTCTCTCTCTCTCTCTCTCTCGCAAGCCTATATAACTACGCGTAAATTATACCGTACGCGCCCGATCGTCTTTTCTTAACGCTTTTATAATACATAAGCGTGCATAAGGCATGGCTCTGCGGCTGTGATGCCGTCGGCGGTGCACGGCTGTAATCCACGTTTTGTGCGCCGCTTATATATAAGTGTATACGTACACACGCGCGTGCATGCAAAATAACCGATTGACTCGAGCCGCAGTTGCGAATAACGCGCGCGTTGCGACTCTTGAATTATCGACGAGTTTGTTTAGAAGGTCTTGGCAGGTGTGACAGTTTATACAAATATACTTGTACCTGTCTCGAGATTTTTCGTAACTACTTTATCGATACATTTTTTCGCGTGAATATGCGTCTAACGATGCACCTAAACTTTTTTACTCCCATCGCATTTTGCTCTTATAGAATAAAATATTGTACGCTCTTAATTAATTTTAATTAATTCCTTTTAATTTCCTTACTTTTAATTATTTTTTTGAATTTAATAAAAAAAGTGATGGTCCGGAAAGTGAAGCCACTCAAAATAGCTTCTGATTAAGTTACTTTTGACCATTAATTTAAGGGGTTTGATAATTTATTAGCTTTCAATCAAAAATATCCAGCAGTTTTCTCCAAAAATTTACTTTATTTTGAAAGATTATTTTTACATGATAAGTGAGAAATGCCCTTGTGCATCTGATTGATGTAAATTTTAAAACTACCCTTTTGTGTAAATGATATCACTGTGCTTTAAATTTATGTGGACTTTGAGATTATCCTTCGTTGTGAATTGCTTTCGTCATATATCTCATGAACGTGCGATTTTACTATGAACCGAATCGATGTGTTTATTGAAATTCCACTTTTTTTTTAAATGTCTTGCCACATATATCACATGAGTATTTTACTCCATTATGCTACATTGATGTGGCCCTCGAAATTACTTTTTCGTCCGTACTTTTTTCCACGCACGACACGAATGTTTGTTACTGTTATGTATTGTATGTATGTGAATTTTGAGATTACTCTTGCTTGTGAATTTCTTTCCGCAATAATCACATGTAGGAGTAACACCATTATGAACCGAATCGATGTGGATTTGGAGATTACCTTTCCATGAAAATGTCTTGCCACATAAATTACATGAGTGAGTAACACCATTATGTGCGACTTCAATGTGATTTTTGAGATTTTTTTTAATTGAGTATTTCTTTCCGCAAATATCACATGCATGAGTGATACCATTGTGTGCTACATCGATGTGGGCCGCGAGATTAATTTTTCGTCCGTACTTCTTTCCACACGTGTCACACGTATGTTTCTTACCGTTATGCACCGAATCTATGTGGATTTTGAGATTACTCTTGCTTGTGAATTTCTTTCTGCAATTGTCACATGTATGAGTGACACCATTATGAACTGAATCGATGTGGATTTGGAGATTACCTTTGCATGAAAATGTCTTGCTACATAAATCACATGAGTGTGTGATACGATTGTGCACCTTATTGATGTGGACTTGGACATTACCTTTGAATGAAAATTTCTTGCCGCATAAATCACATGAGTGTGTAATACCATGATGTAATGATTTGACATGCCTGTTTAGATTACCCATAGTTGAGAAATTCTTTTTACATATTTTACACATGTGGGTTGTTTTATTATGAACCGTATCGATGTGTGTTTTGAGGTTATGTTCGTTCTTAAACTTTTTTGTAATTCTTCTTTTTTTATTTTTTTCAACAAATTTATTGTGGATATTCAAATTCAATTCTTTTTCAGCATCACCAACAAATTTTTGTTTTAATTTTTCTGTGGTTTCTATTTCAATTGAGTTTTCAATTGCATTGTCATCGTTATATTTCATATCTTGCAAGTGATTTCGAGAATAATCATCAATTTTTTGAACTACTAATAAATCCATATTGGGCTTCACGTTTTCACATTCAATAACTATTTTCACTTCGTCACAAAGTCCACTTCTATGATTTACGTCATTTTTTCGAATTGTATGGGTCTGTTGAAAAATCAAAGCTATGTGAGAATTTTCACAATATACATCTACAATACGAGTTATATATAATTATTATGTCTTACTGAATTTTCTTGCGACATTGGTAAGAGTTGGAAGTTTTTAAGATCAGGTTCCTCGTCATTCATTTCGGAATCATTTTCAAAAAGTGATACATTGTCAGCAGGCTCTTCTTTAATTCTGAAATAACCTCAATCAGATCAAGTATTTGCTTACAATTTTTTTACAATTTCGTTTGAAAAAATTACCTGACAGCACAATTGAACAAACCGCTAGATTTCATCCTCCACACTTCGCAAATTCGATTTCCGAATTTCGTTAACAATTAATCTATTTGCAATTATGAGTGAACTACACATGGAAATTAACGAAGAGCACTAAATGATGTGTCCGTTCTGTTATTTACATGTTCTGTTGGCATGCGTGGCTTCTCTGGGTGTCGCCCGGCACATTACACGCAGAGTTATAAACAAAACAAAACTATGTGATCATAATAATATAATTGAAAAAATTGCATTATATATCTCAACAATTTTTCGATCAATGCTATATGATTACAAAAAAAAATGTATTAAAAAATAATTTTATGGTGTACGAAGTACTCTGAGGAGCAGCAAGCCTTCGAAAAATCACAAATTTTCTAATTATTTAGCGATCGTCATAGTTGACTCGTTCGGCTCCAATCCCTTGCCCAAAAATTATTTTTTGTTCATCTCGATCACTCGAGAAAACACATGAATTACAATCAGGTCTGAAATTTTCTTCTTCTATTTTTCTCGCACATACGTATATCGAGTGCATAAACACAGACTGGGCAGGGTGTATACACCGATCGTTTATCATCTTACGATAGCGCGAGGGATGGCGCGAGAGGAAAAAAAAATACCCGCTCGTATACACGTGCGCGTACGAGCGCGTGTGTGTATAAGCATGATGCATGTATCAATAATCGCCATCACGGGGACATATATTTTCGTGGCCCGGCACAAGTACAAATATATATTTATCGAGAGGTAGCAACGCAGCAGCAGCCGCCCACGCGCGGTCGTTCGTTAAAAGCAAGTTATTATCCGTCGCTCGCGAATAAGGAGCAGCGAGCGCATAGCGGCGGTGGCCAGATAAACAACGCGCGCCAAAGTCGACAGTGATATCGCGGCGGCCTGGCTAGCCGATACATTTTCCCAGTGGCAATCGGCTAAATCGACGAATACATCATACGTGTATATCGGTGGCGAGAGAGAGAGAGAGAGAGAGAGAGAGAGAGAGAGAGAGAGCGCATTAATCCACCCCCTCGGTCGGTGATGTACGAGCTGCGCATTAGCTGCTGCTGCTGCTGCAAAAGCATACACTTGATTTAGCGCTGCCTCATGCGCACGAAAGTCCCTCGTATAATTGTGATTTTTCATTATTAACACCGCCTCTTGCTGTTTCTCTCTGTCTCTTGGCAGGCAACGTCGTGAGAGCGCTGAGCATGACGAACGAGCTGCTGGACATCGTGCCGACGCATCAGAGAGCTCTGGGCAATCGCGCCTACTACCAGGAGGAAATACAGAAGAAGACGAACGAGTCGAGGAAGAAGAGGGGCGAGGACGGCTCCGAGGACTCGGTGCCGCCCAATCCCGTGAGTATACATAAATTTTACATCGCGCAACCGTCGCACTTTTTCCTTTTGTCCAAAGACTCAACTCTCTCTCTCTCTCTTTTTTGCAGAGCTTTACGGTGACGGAGAAGCGCATGAAGAGCGTGAGCGAGATGACGGAGCGCGAGCGCTACGAGATGCTGTGCCGGGGCGACATCAAAATGCCGCTGAGCATACAGAAGGAGCTGCGCTGCCGCTACGTCGACCGCGGCATACCTTACCTGAAAATTGGCCCGCTCAAGGAGGAGGAAGCTTATCTCGAGCCCCGCATCGTTATCTATCACGATGTCATCTACGACGACGAGATCGAGACCATCAAGCGTATGGCTCAACCGAGAGTAAGTCTTTATAATTTTCAGCCTTTGGCAGCGTATTTACTAAAAATTAAGGCACCAGTATCGATTGGTTTTTAATAAAAACTTTTTGAGCAATTTATCTTGCAAATCGGTATCAACCCTTTACGTCGATTGCTCAAAAAATTTATGAAAGTTCAATCTTAGTTAATGCAAGCCTTACCCGCTAGATGGCTAGTATCTTCATCTGTAAATCTACAAGTTGTTAAGTAGAATAAGTCGTATAAGTTAAGCACTGTTTAAAAAAAATGTACTGTTGAATATGGCGTTGAAAGTTTTCAACTTGATAATTTTACGAATGGCATAATTGACAAAATTTTGATTTTTGTCTCCGCAGTTCAGACGCGCCACAGTGCAAAACTACAAGACCGGCGAGTTGGAGATCGCTAACTATCGCATAAGCAAGAGCGCCTGGCTGCAGGAGCACGAGCATCATCACATCCGAGCCGTCAGCCAGCGGGTCGAACTGATGACGAGCCTGAGCATCGACACGGCCGAGGAGCTCCAGGTCGTCAATTATGGAATTGGCGGCCATTACGAGCCTCACTTCGACTTTGCCCGGGTAAGTTACGAGCAGCTCTCTCGTTTTATTGCTGGCGCGCTCCTCCTGACGCAAACGCATTGATGGATGCTTTTTTTGCCTTTCAGAGAGAAGAGAAGAACGCCTTCAAGAGTCTCGGAACTGGCAACAGAATATCCACGGTCTTGTATTATGTAAGTTTTAATCAAGGGCGCGATCCATCGCGCGTCAAACTTCATGAAATGTCTTATACGTGACATTCCTTTTTTTTTTTAGATGAGCGACGTTGAACAGGGTGGTGGTACCGTTTTCACAAGGATCAACGTTTCCCTATGGCCGAAAAAGGGAACTGCTGCAGTTTGGCACAATCTCAAGCCGAACGGCGAGGGAGATTACATGACGAGGCACGCGGCTTGTCCCGTTCTTACCGGATCCAAATGGGGTGAGTGAGAGAAATCGTTGCAGTAAGCTTTCGCGACGTGCTTCAATGAAAAGTCGAATGCAGCCACTAATTAATCTTCTATATACTTTTGCTTTCAGTCGCGAACAAATGGTTGCATGAACGAGGTCAAGAATTCCTCAGGCCCTGCACTTTGGAAAATCAGTCAGCCGACGTTGACGACGGCCGCTACTAAAACACTCTCTCCGAAAATGAACGATGGGATAACTCGCTCGAGAGCCGAAGTTCTCTTATAACAAAACAATATAATCTATCCCTAAACATATTATTAACTGTATATACGAGTAAAAAATCCCGAACTTACCTGAGCTTCGTGTGATTATATATAAAAGTATAATAAATGCGTGCGTATGTGTGCGTATTAGCGTGTTTCATGCTCCGAGAACGCGTGTGTAAAAAAAAAAAATAAATAAAGGCTGCGTATATAACACGTGCGGTGCAGGTGATAGACATTGAGCTCAAGCCAAAGGATTTTAATCGATGATGTATTGACAAAGGAAAAGTAAAGCACAACATTGGACAATTGTTTTATGTGTTGAAGTAAAACAAAGAAAGAATCTCTCTATCCTGTAATCAACTAAACGACTGACAAACTCCATTCATCAAATTGTACATGTTATTCATGATACCCAAGTTTCATTTTTTTCGATTAAGACCTTAATAAGACAGAAATACGACTATAAATATGAATATATAAATGAATTATAAATATTACATGTTATGATGAATTAATTGTAAGTGATACATGTGATGAATGCAAGACGTAATCATATGATAATTTTAGCAATAAACTGCCGTAAAAATGTGAGTATGAACGGGTATGTGAAATGTAAGAAAATAATGTGATGCAGATTTTTAAAAGAGGACTATAAAACTGTATACTTAAAAATTGCATATATTAGTACGTAAATCGAACGAGAGTTGTATACTGTAAAATTTTAACAAACTTCTGGTTTTTTTGAATACATAAGTCTATGTAGAATTTGAGAGTGTTGTTAAAAAAACATCGACCTACGCTTACTATAATCTTGTATTAAAAATATCAAAAAGCAATCGAATTGAACTTAAAATTACAACTTTATGCAATTTAGTTTAAATATTTTCATCATTGTGCTACTCAAACTATTTGAAATATTTTTCAATATGTCACGTTACCAGTTTATTATAACTGTAGAGAAATTGGAAATTAATCATGATTTGATTTTTTCAATTTTCACTCAACAGAATTTTTACCTTCTTTTAATCATGATCTTAATTTATACATAAGCATTAATTCATAAATTAAAATTATTCTTCTGCTGCGATATAAAATATTTTTATCGAAAGAAAGTGCTATAGCATGTATAAACACTATTATTAAGGAAAGCTATTGAAAATTGGCTACCGTAGAATTTTTCTATGCATACGTAAAACAGTAGTCTGAATCTGCATTTTTAAAATTTTGTATTGTATGCTTTGATGCTGTGAACCCCAAAAGAGAGAGATGTTTAATTTATTGTGACACAATCGGAAAGCTCAGTTAATTATTTATTTAAGGAGGTCTGTACCCCACAGATTCGAAAAATTTGTTTAAATTATATCTTTTTTTCTAAATCGAATATCGAAAAACGGTTCGATGGGAACATTCATTTCGTTGCTCTGAATAGCTGGTAAACATTTTAGCTAATTCCACCGACCAGATTTCCCGGAAAACGTGTTTGAAATTTTCACACGTTTCCTTAGCTTGAAATTTTCAAATACGTTTTCCAGGAAATCTGGTCGGTGGAATTAGCTAAAATGTTTATCAGCTATTCAGAGCAACGAAATGAATGTTCCCATCGAACCGTTTTTCGATATTCGATTTAGAAAAAAAGATATAATTTAAACAAATTTTTCGACTCTGTCGGTAAAAAATGTGGGGTACAACCCTCCACGAATTGTAATTTGTATTTACAACATGGAAAATGATTCTCAGCGAGAGGTCACAATTAAAAAATGTAATCTATAATCAACTTCTATTTGAAAGCGGAGACTGAGCATTGGGTATGAAAAAGTCCTTGTTACAATTTTATTTTCGAAGTTGCTGTGTGGATATTGGTAGTTCAGCGTTGTAAGAAATCGTGGTGTATTACATTATATTGTCGAGATAATGTTTATAAAAACAACTTGTGTTCATCCATTTGAGAAGTCTTCAAACATTTGATGTGTAAAAATGTGCAAATAAGCGGATGATAAATAAACATTTTCAAGACAAATGAAATAGTTGCTTTAATAATAAAATTGTGTTTATTTTTAAAATTTTATACGAAAAACTCTGAAGCTAAAACTCACCCGCGGAATTGTTCAGTTGATAGTTAGTAAAGTAGGTAACAAATCAATTACTTTCATAATAAAAATCATTTTATTAATTTTTTTGCATGGGAAGATAATAAAAATATCATAAATATTTTTTTCATTCAATATTTCTTTTTAATTTAAAAAAAAGACTTACAGAATCGTCAAAATCGGTAACGTAGAAATCTAACGTTTTTACATGAGGTTACAATTTATGATAAATACCCACCCTCAATATTTAGTTATTGATTTTTTTAAATTATATCAAAATCAATATTTACAATAGAGCTACAGCTATGTTGATAATAATTAAGAATAAAATCGGACTGCAATGAATAGATTTCAGACTCAAACGATCAAGATAATAATTTTAAAAAAAGAGATAAATGAAAAAGAAAACAGAAATAATTGTTAATTAAAAATAACTTATAGTTACACACCCAACTAATGAAACATTAATGAGAATTCCAATTTCTAAAGAACCAATTAATTATGATACATGTACGAAAACATTTGCCTAATTGGACAAGCAATTATTTTCAATGTTTTAAGGGTCATAGGGAATTTTGGAAGCAATCAATATTTATAGTAATAGACTTTTAATATTTTTTTGATTCTCATTTTCATGTTATGAATTATGATGAGCTAATAAGATTAAAAATTCGTTTTAATTTTGTTTTTAATAATAAAAAAAATAATGGTTTAATATTTCAATGCTTGGAAATTGATTGCGTCGAACGAACAGAAAATGCAAACGATTTTCGTAAAAGAGCAAAACATTGCATACAGGGTAAGTTCATGTGAAGCAATAGACCATTTCTTTAATGTTTTTAAAATGTTGTAGCCACGTACTGATAAATGTTTTATACAAAATAACTTGTAAATGCATCCAACCTTTAACTGCAGAAGAGATTTCCATTTAGTTAGTCTTCGTTCTTTCCACAAATTGAATGTTGTTTATTTTGACGTTTCAAATTGAAAAATTGATGATAAAGTGTGTCCAGCTGTTGTTAAGTTTTTATTGAAACAAATCGAAACAATAAGACATGTGTTTTATTTTACACTAGATATCCACATTAACGAGCTAAATCAGTTAAATTTTTTAGTATATTTTTTTTGTACAGTCATAATGCGCCCAAAATACTTTCTTTATGATTAATAATTAATGTTTACATTTACACATTTATACAATTCGGTAACTTGGTTAGTAATATATATTTTATAATAATCATTCATGTTCAACAAGTTTGGCGATATTTATTCGATACATATATTATTTTTTTATTTTTTTCTCTCACTTTGTGATTTACTATTTCAGGCAAAATGAATTTTTCTAAATCATCAAGAAACGTAGTCCGAATCATAATTTTTCGTATTATTTTTGTTAGATAACAAGTTTAATAATTTTGTCCTTCATAGTTGTCAGTATAAACAAATTCATACTCAAATATTGGAAAAGAGTAATTATTTCGACATTTTAAGGTTTGTATGATACATAATTAGATAGGTTTGGTGGTATTTAATAAGATATTAGATGTTAATATAAAAATGTAACAAACATATTTGTACATAAATGTATAAAACTATATAATTCAATACTTTAACATCACAAAAAATTAAGTTCCCATGAGGATTTGTTGCTGGTAATATTGTTTTGATTTACTTTGGGTAATTGTTCATGAAACATGTTGTATAATTTTAGGAGGAAAGACAGCGGTATACTTCTTTCAAAATGATTAATTGACATTTCAATTAATTCATTATTATCTTTAAGTAATCTCTGGAGATCCTCTACCATAATTTAAAAACGAATTCACCATACAAATGAAAATAAGGTTTTGGAAAAATTTCAATTGAAAATTTAATTTTTAAGTTAAATAATGTTCTGCGCTTTAATTGGTTCCCATAAATTATAAATCTGGATATCAGTTCATTTGTTTCTGTAAGTGCACGCGAAGCGCGCTGAAGGGAGCTAGTAAATTCAATTTCATAATTCGTATGAAGATCACTCTTATATTTTTAAGTTTGCGTCTGTTATACATAATAATATTTCTTTTTTGTCGCAGTTGGCATCAATATTATTGTTTAAAATGACTTTTACGTACGTTTATTCTGTCACTTTTTGTTTAGCTATAATTTTTAAAAAAATAGATTTCATCAGTTTTTAACAGTCGCGAATTTACATTTTTTTCTCTAAAACTCAGTGTATTAATATTTTTTGATTCTAGATTTTTTAAATGTTACGAGTGCATTATAAATAAAAATACTGAAAAATATACTTGTTGATTATATGCTCATTTTAGCTGTTCAGTGATTATTTTATCATAAAAATAAATTTCTTTGTCACATTTTGATATATTTCACCAAATACTACTTACTGTGCGTAGAAAAATATTTGATTCTCAGAGATTGAATTTTTGGTCAAGTTTATAATCTGTAACACTAATACATATTCGTGATATATTCATAGTATAGGTGTGTTACTTTAATAATGTTGCGTTTCACGCCTAAACATTTTATTGAATGTTTTTGCCAATACATTATTTATAATTACTTCAGGACACAAGAGACACATATTTTAGTTTTTTTAAAAATTAAGCCACTGAATTTAGGTTGTTTAAAAATTAAATTTAAAATAATAACGTTTAAATAATTAATGATTTTAGAAATGTTACCAAAAATTTTCATTTCAATTTACGATATCTTACATTATTCAACAGTGCTTAAAACACATATATCGCTAATATATTCCTTTCTTAAACTTAAAGTAAATACTATGTTTGTGACAAATTTGTCTAAATGAATGTGCTGTTCAATTCAGTGAGATTTAGCATAGAGTGGGATAGTGAGTGCGAGTTGGTACTTGGGAAGGAAAAAGGTGCAAAAATCATCACAAACATAACTTTAACAGTATTCAATAAAAAAAAAAAGATGGAAATGAAATATACCGGAGGTAACGTGCAGATCGGAGTGATTGGGAGCAAAGGGACGCATTTAAACTTCATAATTGCGAAACTTGTTGACTATCTCGCTCGAGGCTTGATTGTCCCAGTTGAGGTCGCGACGGGCCCCATAATGAATATTTGCGCCACCTTCGCTGGCTCGTCTATTGGCATTAGCTGCCTGCATTTTTGTGCGAGCCACCGGGCTTGCTGAGGAACCTGAAGCACCTTCTTGATCCGGAAGCATGCGATCTTTCGTCTTAGGTGTCGCCCAGTGCATGGACTGAAACAAATGAGAAGCCACTGTTCAACTGTTCTCTTTTTCGAATTTATTAATTATATAAAAAAATGGAAAATATTTGATCGGCATCATTTATGGCTCCCATCATCACAGTTTTATTCTGTTTGCCGTAGTAAATATTCAACTGAATTATTGAAATAAAAAATATGTTCAAAAAATGTGGAACGCTTCACGATTTTGCGTGTCATCCTTGCGCAGGGGCCATGCTAATCTTCTCTGTATCGTTCCAATTTTAGTATATGTACTGCCGAAGCAAGTACGCACAGTATGGGAGACAGGCATCTTATATAGTAATCTAGGTCTTTTTCCAGCCACTTGCGGGATCGTAGCATGCGACACCTAGTGGTACACTAGCAACTATAGTACCGGTTCATGAGCATCGTAGCAGTCGAAATAACAATATGCATGGGACATTAGAGTAGGGGATAGATACAAAAATGTAGAAATTGAGATCGTCTGGTTGCATAATATAGGCGAGTATCAAAAATTCGAAGCTAGACGACTTTTTTTTAATTTTGGAAAGTCCATACTTTTATAAATATTAAACTTAAGGTCTTGCAATTTTTTTTCTAATTTGTTTTAAAAAATGAATTTAATAAACTATTAAAGCCGGAATGTAAGACAATTCAAGATAAACTTTTAGGAATTTGAAAGAATTTCTTAAAAGTATTTACTCATATTTTTCATACATTAAACAAAACCTCAAATTATAAAATGTTTTTAATATATTAAGTTGCTTCTGTAATAATCATCGGGAAATAATATTTTTAATTTTAACATAATAAAAAAACTTGTACTCTCCGAGCACACTTGGAGGGTGTGGAGCAGTTCAAGGCGCAAGTCTCTTGTGGTTTCTAGTAGAGGCACAAAAGACAGGGCTTTATAGAGTAATACAATTGTTGTTTAAAAAAATATGAATATCTAACAAATTAAAAATTATCCAGAGATACACGTGGTCAATGCACTAATTTTATGTTTCTCAACGTTTCGCTGCAGTACGTGTGTAGATTTTATTTATTTACACTCAATAATACTTGATATACGTTGACGTACGCGTGCGAGTGTAGTCTTATGCAATGCACTGTACACAGCAAAAACTATGCGATAGTGTGCACGTGTATGTATCTGAGTTCTATTTATAACGTCATTTACCTGATGCCCCGCACACGCCGTTTTCAATGAAACTTCAGCAATCGATATTTGCTCTAAGCCTCCTCCAACTCCTTTTACCCTCGCTACTATCTATCATCATAGAATCTATCATAGAACCATAAGATTTTGGTTAACGTTATTTTTTTGTGCGAGTATCGCAAAATCGAATTACAAGTTGGATAATTCATTGAGCAAATTTGTTCCTTTTTCTTCCAGGAAACTGAAGAGCTTTCATCCGTCGCGTCAAGGCATGCACATGTAAATAAAGTACGAGGCTACGAATAACTTGTTTAGATCCTCGGGCGTATAAATAGAAAGCTTTTTCTACGAAGAAAAATTGTAAGTTTACTCTGCTGATGATGCACTGCATCTCAGATTTTTTTTCATTTCTTGTTATAGAGTTATATGCACGCGACTCTTCTAAATGATGAGCACGCTTGAATTTCATAATCAATCTTCGATATTAAGTATAATAATTTTTACTTTTTGTAATGAGTTTTTCTTTTAAAACTTGATAATGCAAGGAAGTAATAAAAACATTTTTACCATCCATCTTTTTTAAAATTCGATCTTAATCTAATTTGGAAAGATTAATATGAAAACTAATTATTTTAGTAAACAAGGAAAAGAGTGAAAGCGTCGAAATGATTTAGTTTATGTCTTCTCATAACCTACTAGTCCTTCAACAATGCTTACTTTTTAGCATAAAAAATCATTATTTTCAATTTTCAGAGACCCACTTTTACTTGAAATTGCACATGAGATACCATCTACGAAAAATTATGCGGTTGCTCTCTTCAACGTCAAGCTAGAAAAGCTGAATTTATTCTTTGCAAGCTCGCTATTTTTTACAGATCGAAAACAGATTTTTAACGAGAAATTTTTTGGTATACTTCGGTAATTGTTTCGCATTCAGACGCATATTCACATTAAAACTTCATGTGCAGCTAAATGGAAGAAAGGCCAGTGAAAATTTCCCTTTAAAAAAACAATAGCCAATTGAGCGTATTTTCAATTTCAATTTCGGAAAAGTGGCGCAAAAATTACATTGCACTTAGTTGAGCAAACACACGAGTACAAGCGCAAGTGTATACACGTATACGCAAGTAATCAAAGTTATATCCGTGTAATTTCAAGCTATCGGATGGTTGTACGGTATATCTGCAACTGAAATGGAATAGCATCCTATTACATGTCCTCGTATGCAAACATCCCTATTAACACGTCCGTTGATGTACATCCAATCTCTGACAATGCCGATTGTTAACAATTTGAAATATTGTTTTGGATGTTGTTTTGGATGGTATTATGTTGCTATGCTTTTACGCGAAAAAACGAAATATTCACTTTTCACTGCATAAAGGGAGAGAGAAAATGGTATTTACCTGATGCACGTGCTCCTTCATGCCCAGCCACTGTTTGTAACTGATGGCGATGCCGCTGTTTCGCCATTTGTCGTAATTACTGCGTTTTTCCGGATCGCAAAGTGTCTCCTTGGCATGCTGAAACAGGGCAAAAAAGAAAATGTGATGTATTATAGAGCGATATGTAATGGAGAAAAAAAAACATTCATACGCCCACGCCTGTAAGGTGCGATCGCCTATAGCACTGAGTATGATCGATAGCTTTGTGAATGACTATAGATGTAAAAAAGTAGATAAAGATGAGATCTATCGGAAAAATCGCATACATAAAGGTGAGATTGTACTATTGAATGTTTTTTGCATGCATATATCAAAGGCGTTCATTCATTCATAATTTATGAACGAGGCGTATCAATCGTGATTTTTTTCACTACTTTTTGTTGTTAGGTATTGTTGCTTTTTGCAGTAAATTCAGCGACGTTATGTTGCTTAATGATGTAACAGACTGGTGGGTTCGTTCGCACATATACATTTATTTTTAATGGTCTTGACTCGTGCGTTTATTTGTCGCGGTTAAATTGCGATCGTATAAATTAATTACACGGAACGCGGAATACACTCACACGAGCTCTATATACTCGTTAATTTTTTTTTTTTTTTCACGATAACTCTTTTAATTGGAATTAACAATAGAATCTATCTTTCTTCCCATCGATTTTTACGATCTTCGCAGCAGTGACTATAAAAAAAAAATAAATGGCGAGATCCAGAAAAATTTTTAACACAATTTTATCTGTGTCGAGTGGGTGGAAATTTGAATCGTAAAATTAGGAGAAGTAGATTAATACTGTATATATAGAGATACACCAAAATTACTCTTCACACTTCTTTAGTTATATGAATTTGTCAGAAGATAGGCTGGCAATTTATTGAATAAAAAAGTAATGTAAGTTTTAGTGGAGCTTACGACTCAATAACGATATTGATTGTTAAAGTCCATGGGCAATTATGACCCGAGAATATACTATACGGAGCCCATAATTTCAATCATTGAGGCTTAAGGCGATAGCTGGTAGTTTGATGAAATCTTCGTAAACGCGAATCCATTTTACATTATCTTGATCGAGGTGATATTGAAAACCGATACAATAATTAAAAGATATTTAGCGATAAATGTACTCCCTACAGTGCTACGACTGAAAGAGTGATGTTACAATATGCAAGCTCTGGAAGCAATTCGATCAATTTTTCAAATTAACTGCGTAACTGTGGTATAGCTGAGAAGGTGAAAGCCCAGGGTCACTGTGAGAGCAATTTTAATAACAACGGTTGTGTAAAACAATCCATATATGTCAAAAAAATTTTTAACCAAAATCACTGTTTATCATTTAGAAAAATAAAGTTAATAGTTTGTATTATCTACTGCGATTTCAAAAAGGGTTTGGCTTTTCAGGGAAAAAATTCGTACATAAAACTCGAAAAATCTCCAGGATTTCGTGTAAGAATTTTTCCCAGACTAGACGTTTTGTTTGAAATAATACCATCAAAAAGCAGACAACGATTATTTTATTTGCACAAAGATTTTCATATTCTTTAAATTTATTTGAATTGATTTTTTTTCAAAGTGTTGCATATGTTTGTATTTTCTTTTAACCCATGATCCGTGCAACACGACCTCTTATGTTTATTTAGATTTTTCACCGCAAAATCTCTAATACTATACACAGCTTCTCTCTTTCGGATTATTTGTACGCTGCACGAATCGAATCGCAATGTGTACCTAACTAATGGAAATCCCGAGAATCTACACATACAGGAATTCAAAACATTTTTTACACAACTTTCTTTTTAAAAAAATAAACCCGATACATGGTTAAAATAGGGAAAAAGGGAATAAAAATCGACGAGTTATTAAACATCGAGCGTACAGTGGTATTCATCAGGTAAGCGCCACGCAGATCATAATACAGCGTGTTGGGGAGCAATTTATGTACAGAAATATACAAAATACACATCGCGCACAATGGCTAGCGACGTCATTTTCGCATATGTAATGCACGTATATCTATGTATGATGTATTATACTTCCAAATACCACCGACGAGAATGAATGTAACTTCAACAACATTGACAATAGCTGCTTTACAGAAAGCGCACGGGGCAGCTGTACGACAGCCGCGTAATTAAATCTGCGTTCATGTGCAGCTTTCGGCTGTTAATGCCTGGAAAATTGCCCGTGAGAAGTCCGTGAGCAGCGGGACAATATAGGTATCTATGCATTATGTAACACAGACAGTATGCACAGCATACATCTGCATGAGCTCAGCGAGTTGCTCGTGACGTTCTGGCTACTATCTATACACTCCCTTTCAATTTATGCTGCGTATAATATACCGAGGCAGCGAGAATTTCGCCAACTTCTCTCGTCGGTGGTGGTGGCGGCGGCGGCGCCTCCTCTCTTTGTAGAGTTAAACTCGCGATGCGTTTACACGCGGCCCGGGTGCAAGGCCGAAGAGATATGACAGGAAGCGCCGCGGCAGCGAGCGAATTAAATATTTTCGCAATTAGCAAGGAAAGTCATCAAGAGAGAGAGAAGCAAGCGAGCAAGCGGAGCAGGACTTTTGATCAAATTTGATGAAACCTCTACGCGATCGGTGTAATTGAAAAGTCAAGGTAGTGAAGGAAAAATAAGCGTATTACCGTACAAAGATCAGATAGCGCGCTAGTCATTATAGATATATTAATCACATAGCTTGCTTTTCTCGTCCCTGCTATGTGCACACGGGGCAAAGGGGACGTATTGCATAATTTTACGCATCCGTAATTTTGAAATACGACGCTTTTCGCACATTAGACTGCGCCGAGAGCTGCATCGCTTACGCATATTTGCTCACGTCGTAATACGCAGAAAATACAGATCATATTCATTCTTACAGATGAAAAGTCGAAATACAGAGAAAGAGAAAGAGAGAATAATGAGTAGTGGATCAATGTAAAACGCACATATTGATAAATTTCTGGCACATATTTGCGAATTCATATTTGCGAAGGCATAAATTGTTGAAAGCTCGAGCGAGCTTTCGTGTTTCACAATTTTTCGCGCTCACGATTTATGTTGACAAACAATGCGTGTTTATAAATATGCATAAAGTTGATCGATGTATAATTAATTATTGTACATATTCATTGTAAGCGCGCGACGGTTTGCGGCCGTGAGTTTTACGTGAATAATATGCTCTCGAGCTTTTCGTCGAGCAGCAGATTTCGTCGTCAAAAGTTTTAAAAAACTTTTTTGCGTGAAAAACAGAAAGGAAAAAAAAGCAGAATAAAAGTAAGCGATAATTTCTCGAATAAAAGAGGATTCTGAAATTGGACCACTTTTACGCGCACTGAAAATTGCAGATGAAAAAAAAGTTAAAAATCGAGCTTTGACGTCCTTCGAAAGACGACTTGAGCGCGATATAAGGAAAATATATATCCGAATAATAATGCAAAATGACGAGCTCTGAATAATGAATCTTTTGTTTCTTTCAGAATTTCGCTCTACCTCTCTTATTTCACTCTGCATGATAGCTTTGTTTATTATATCCTGCACCAGTCGCGTATAAAATACTCTCTGCATGCATGTGCGGCAGAGGTGGTGGCTGTGCCTGCTCGTCAAGTGTCAGGCTCGAGATACAATGCTCGCGCATTTCATACTTTAGTGAATTAAATTTTGCGTTATTCTAATTCCGGATTAGTAAACACTTCATTGCTCCACCAAGCGAACAAGCATTTATTATGCGCTCGACTAGCACCAGACAAATATCGCAATTTTAATAATATAATCTACTCCCAGGTGTATTGTTGAAACTTGCCCTAGCGCGCGTTTCGCGCGGCAGGTACAACAAAATCACGTATTCAATTTCAAAGAAATTATCGCAATACACAGGCAAACGCACGCGTGTATATATACGCGTGTTTGTATACTTATATATGGCATGACCCATATTTTGTGATAGACACCTGTGTGTGTATACGTGCGAAAGCGCGAATGAAATACGAAGCTCCCAGTGGGCTTTAGTCCTTTGTGCAGCCCCAAACGCTCGTCGTGGTTCTTTATAATTTTCATTCTCGTTACATAAAAAAAACGGAGAAAAAAAATAACTCGACAAGTTAATTTTTCGTGCTTTTCTTCGCGCGTGCCTCGCGATAAATTAATATTTCACCAGCGGGTAAAAGATCTATGCTTCGAAAAAAGCTCGCTCGAGCTCGCCGTCATCCAGTTGAAGCTCCGTCTTGAAATTTATATTACTAGCTTATATTCCTTTGAAACGTGCAAGTTTTACATCTTGTTACAAGTGGGGACGTCAAGGAGATTGACGCGCAAAAATGCTGCCCACGATCGTGAAACCTCCTCTCCATTGACGTTCGCGTTCTTTGCTAGTTGAGCTTTTCAATCTTTTGCCTTCGCTAAAAAAGCTCGTTAATACTCTGAACGCGTTTAAATGCGACCCTCTCTCTGCACCCACACCCTAACGAATTCACATGCACACGCACATTCTCACTGAAGATTTAATTAACTATATCCTCGAGCTTATCTCTCGTCAGCTCGACAAACAAGCCACACACGCGCGCGCGCGAGCTCGCTCTATTTAAATTATTATTGTTTTGGATTATAGTCGGATATATATACCGCTGACGAGATATTTAGAAAAGGAGCAACGACAATGATAATAACAAAAATAACAACAACACAATATGTCTAATCGATTTTGTACCGAGGCTCATGCATCGGAGGTTTATTGTTGCTGCTGCCTCCCGATATCTGCTGTCCTCCCTCTCGCTTTTACTCGGCACATGTAGGAACCGAACAAGCCTTGAACATCCGGCAATAATACACATGGACAACACAGAAGCTGTGTAGGCGTTGAAGCACGAGCTCAACCTATATACGTTGTAACATACGTGTACGTGTACGTATTTAGCAGCCTGGGATCGCGTGGGCACATGCTGATAGAGCAAAAAAGAAAGTTCGAACATTGAGCTTCAATTAATTATAGCTTCGCGACTGAGCTTTATTGTATTTATTGTTTATCGGTTTATTAACTGTATTAATACCGCTATCGATCAATAGAGCTTCGCTCGCAGTTCTATCTGCGTCACATAGTAAACTTGACGACGAGAGAGAGAGCGGGACTTTTTTTACTCCCCCGAGTCGCGAGGGCACGTATAAAACCATTTACAAGCACGAAACGAGCAATCATCGGTGGTAAAATTAAAATGTTAATTCATTCGTAAGACAGGTTATTTTTCCTGCCTCGAGAATCAATTGAGTGAAATAACTTACTTTCAGTTGTTGGAACTTGGCTTCGGCCTCCTTGTTACCCTCGTTTTTGTCCGGATGATACTGTAACGCCAGAGCTTTGTATTCCGCCGTTATCTGTTCGATCTGTGAAAAGTCGAAGAGAGAAAAAAAACGGTGAAAAAAAGTTGACGAGAGATAGTCAATCTGCTTCACAAACTGATATTAATTAACTTTTTCTACTCTTTTTAGTATACGGAAAATCTATTTCTATCGGGTAGAGGATACATAATAGAGAGCTAACTGAGTTAATGGCACACGGGCGACGAAAATTTTATTGAATTACGAAAAACCATAGCTGCGAGATCACGCTGCTGAATTTCAATGAAAATAAGCATGGTTAAAATAGCTCAAAGGCAGATCGAATATTGGCGACGGCGATTTCCATTTTTGATAAACAGATTAAAGGGCTTCTGGCTTTGGTGTAATATTCGAAAAATGAAAAATTCAAAAGGAAAAAATTGATTGACTTTGATCGACGCAGAATTACAGTCGCGTGTCCCTTCGACGCCCGATATGCCACTTTCGTGTGAATGCATATACGAGTAGCTAGTATAGAAGCGAAAAAATTAAAAGTGCTCCCCGAGAGTATACACCGTCGAACTATTAATTGCCACGCTTCAAAACGGACGTGATCAGAAAAATTGTGATAAATGGGTACATCGAAATTCAATGGCAAAGTTAATTCATTAAATGGGAAACATTTTTATTCATCGCTGCACTGTTGTTGTTGCACGCGTCTTATCGTTATTGATGGGTTATTCTATTTTATTCTTTTTTTTTCAAGCTCGTTATACCGCGAGCATGATCATAAATCACGATTGGCATTTACGTAACTAATAAGCGCGATGCGTCAGGCTGCAGCAGCGACAGCGTGATACTTTGATATCGCATGCTGCCGTTATATTATTCTTTTTTTTTCATGCAGTAAAATTTCATTTATGTTTTGTTCGCAGTTTCATGATATTAATATTTATTTTCGCGTAAGTAGAGTGCATTGAAATTGAAAAAAATAAAGCTGCGTAAATACTGGGTATTTGTGTGCACTCGCGTTCCCTTCAATTCTTCTCCGTGCCCACTCGGTCTCAGTAGGAAAATAATAAAAAAATTTCATTAAAAGTTGGACTGCATTCTTGCGAATGTTAGGTCTGGTAAACAGCAATTAATTTGATACGAAAAAGTTACTCGAGCGAAATTTCGTTGCTTTTTTTGCATGAATGAGTAGGCACTCAAAAATCTAATGTTAGCACAGCGCGGGATATAAATTGCAAGATATTCAAGTAAACAATTAATATTACAATATAAACACGACACGCCACCGCTTTTGAAAGAAACTCGAGACACGTCGTGCAAATTACACGAGTACGCAGCGTAAATATTTAACCAAAATTGTAATTACAGACTCGTATGTATAATATATAATCGTAGTACACACGATGAGTGTTTAAGAAATTACACGCGAGAAGCTCTTATCACGCTTAAAGCTTCTCAAGTGCCTTGACATACCGGTAATACAATTGCATGTAAAGTCTCCGTACCCTTTAGCTCACTCGAGCGCGTTCTGCAATGCACTCACAGACGTCCCTTAATAATGGTTTAGAGTGTATACATGTAATAATACGGGCGTAAGTATGTGTATTTATACTAAGCTGTCACTGTGTACGCGCGCAACGCGACTCGAATTTAAACCGCGAGGAATTTTCAATGGAAGTCGCAAATTACTATTTTAAACTTTTCAAATTGCTCGAGGTTGACGCGCGAACAATATTATGTATGTATATATTGGTACGCGATCGCGCATTCCGGCACGTACTAAGCAAGTTTCCTATATTAAAAATTGTCTTCTAATTGGGAAAATTCATTTAATCTAAAATTATACCAGAGAAAATATAAAATTACAATTGTTATTATTTACCGTTGATGACTCGTCGCAGCCCAACAACTTGTAATAATCCTCGTCTTCGCTCTTCTTGTAATCGAGAACGTCTTCGATGCTCATGTTGTCAACCTGTTGACCCTCTCTGCAGCGATGTAGGTACGTGTGTTTATATACTCGTTGTTGCGCTTACTGCGGCTAGGCTGCTGCTTCGAGCTCCACTAAAACACTGGCCTGTTAAAAGAAAAAAAGCCGCGCAAAGATTATAAACCAACTGATTCGACTTTATTTAGCGTGGGGGTGGATTATACGACAAAAATAATTTATCGTTTCTTTATCTGGCCCGATCTATGTGCGTGGAGCACACAAACACGCGACGTCGAGTTACAGCGAAAAAAAACTTTTATTTATTATTGCATCCGACGTATATTTATCGTTCCGAGTTTATTTGCCTCGCGTTATTATTATTTTTTTTTAACGCACAAGTTTAATAGATTCGTATACTGTTGCTTGGGGGGCTGCTCCGGGTTGGGTGGACGATTACGCGTCGAAAGCTCGTTGTGTTCTGCTTATCATCGAACGGCGACGTGCTCATGAAGACTGAAAGCTCGCACTAACATTCGAAGGAAAAGAGGCGCGAGTTCCCGGGAAATATCGGACGGTTGCGCGCGCGCGAGAGAGAGTGAGCGAGAGAGGCACAGAGACTGACTTGCACTCGCTCGTATATACAGACACTCGCACTCACACACACACACACACACACACACATACACCCACGCAAAGGTGCCACACACGCGCACAGAGGAAAGCCACTGATCGATTTTCTCTCTCTCTCTCGCTACTGCTGCTGCTGCTGCTGCTGCTGTTGCTGCTGCTATTATATAGCCGACGGTTAAAGGGGTAGTAGGCTATATGGACTCTGGCGTATATATATACAGATGCTCTACTGCACGCAGCGGTGCATTATGTGTACGTGATATAGATATATCGCGGCTGAGCCTTGATCGCAGGACGATTTTTCGCGTGCCTACATATGACGTATGCGTGCAAAATATTAAGTATGCAGCAATATACTAGTGACGACTCAAACAAGGAATTTCTATATAGAATATTGGACGCAGTACTGTATGGGCGATACTGTTTTGTGTACTTTGGGTTAATTGGATCGATCGATCGATCTACGCTCGCATGTGCAAACGTTAATTCAAATGAAATTTCAAACAGTGTACTCACAGACGCGATTTCGGGATTCAAGTTTGCTTAACCTTCTAATTTTTTCTCTCTCTCACTCTCCTCTCTTTTTTTAATCATTCACTAACGGCCTTCGCGCTAGTTAGTGAGCGAGGCACAGACAGCGTATAAGAGGAGCTGCACGCAGGCACTGCTGCTGTTAATAGACGCAGATTTCTTATTTAGGACTTTAGAATCGAGTTTTAGGATAAAAAGAAAATGGGTCAAATGAAATAATTGCGCCGCGCGCTGCAACTGTACTTTACGTCGCTCGAGACTTCATACATACGCAGATTTTTCTTTTACTTTTTTTTTAACTCTTTTTTTATTTTCATTCAAGTACATCTTTGATTGAGGCAAAACGAGTGAGCAACTCTTCATTTTTTTTCTCCTTCTCTTTTTCGCGTATAGCTTGTGTGTGTGTACGTATGTGGCAGTTGATAATCACTGCACCGAATAAAAATACGTTATATACGTATATCAATATAATACACACTGAGTTTACTTATATGGAAGCCGCTTTATATGGAAAAATTCATTACACCGTGTAAAAGTCGCATGAGCGGCTTACGTATACAACGTACCGTTGGCCAATCTAGCCGGATAAAAATATAACGATAATCGTTCAGACGTGCGTCGCGCGCATTGCGAGATTTTCCTCGAGTTGCACTTTGACGCTGCTGCGATTTTTACAGTGGAGGTATATAAAAACGCACACGCGTGCAAAAGTTTTAGATATAGGTATATGCTCCTCTTTTTTTTCTTCTCGCGATTGTCGACACGTGTGCGCGTGCGGGTTCAGGGTAACTTTTTTTTCCTCGCTCGATTGGTCTTATCAAGTGATCATCGATTCGATCCATACGGGTTTATTCATTATTTCGTTGTATTATTATATACCTGATGTAAAATACGGAGTATATACTGTATAGAGCAGAAAAAAAACTTTTACACTCGCGCACCACAACGTAATTTCACGCACTGCCGAATACTTTCATATGCTGAAACACTCGCGGCATTTCACTATACACATCTGGCCGCTGCGTATGTACACTTGCCGTCGTCGATTGCTCGCACGGTATCTCCGTGCGCTAACGATAACGCGATCTTTAAATCCATCTGGTTTCAAGCGGTTGCTCGTATATATTTCAATTTATTTGTAGATCTAACTGTACATAACGCACGTTTTGGGGCACAATTCACAAACGTCAGTGCAGCAAGCGGTCCGTGCAGCACGGCACGGCACGTGTTAAAACGCAAACGCTTTTGACAATCAATCCGCAGACGCGCGTCAACAGCAGCAGTCGCAACTGACGCTCGCGCAAATTTCCGCAGACGACGACGGGAAACCAGCCAGACGTATAACACGAAGACTTTCACTCGAGCCGCGGAGGCGACTCTCCTCGAGTTTTATGCAATATTAAAACGGCAGCAGCAGCTCTTGGGAGCGGGGGGGTCTTGGGTGTATATATCATATATACGCTCGCTGTGTGATACGGCAAAGATCATTAGCGACCTTGTACCGCTACTGCTGCTGCTGATGTGAATGTACGTGTTGGTGTTTACGTATGTGTAGACAAACACACAGACACTTGCACACAGAGAGAATCAGGATTGCTAGTTTAATATACTAGCAAGTGTTTGCGTTTAAGCTGGAACAACAAGTAGAAGGGGCCTTGCTCCGTTGCTGCCGCGCCGTTACATCATCCCGGAGTCGATGTTGATTTTAAACAACTCTGATGTACGTATGTATACATCGCGTAAGTTTTTATCATCGTGCATGTAACGCTCATTAATGCCAGTTGGATTACTGCTCTGCTATTCAAATTGAACCTCAAGGGATTGCGAAAAAAAAAATTCGAAAAATTTTTTCGAATTAGTAAGTGTTTCGAATCAAACAGATTAATAACAACGATGAAAAAGAACGAAATAATATTACAACTTTTTCTTACGTTAAAAATGTATTCCTCGGTAGTCATTAGAAGAATAACCTAGAGTCTTGTTAAATTTTTTTTTCATATTATAGTAATCGGAAATTTTTTTGCCACTTGCGGATTTTCAGTGCCCCATCTGTTGATGAAATCCAAAAGTTCATAATCAAAAATTACATTCTCGATCGCGATAAATCTTGTGACAATAAACAGCAAATTTTGGAATATAAATCCTTACATTTTCCTTCAAACCAAATAACAACATTGAAACAAGACGTAAAACGATAAAAACATTGCATCACACAAAATGCTCCGTCTCGTTCACGAAATTATACATTTCAGAAAAAAGCGAAGCGGAACATTCTGTGTGCGATGCAGTGCCGCGCGGTTTTGAAGACAAAATAACGAGTTGCGTACTTGAAAATTTTTTTTACACACGAAAAATCGAAGGCAAGCTGCAATATTCGCTAGTTCAATCATGAATGCATGTACGTACGTATGCGTGTGCGCTCATGAAATTTACGCTCAAGCTCTTTGCAAATTGACAGCATCGCTCGCACACAAACGCACGGGCAAGTTCGTGTATTATACACACATAATGCATGTATGCACCGGCCTGTGGTTACATTCGATTGATTACTTATATACTAAATTGAAGTGCGCACGCCTATATATATCCAGCAGCTCGTCCGGCACTCAAAGCTAGTAGCTGTTTATTGCTTTTATACGTGCACACACATGCGCAAATACACACGAATACATCAATAGCAGTTTAGTCTATAGCATCCACCTCTCTCTCTATGTCTCTCCTTTTATATATGGGTCAAAATAATACTTTTTTACAAAACCGTGCGCACGTATGTCACCGATCTTGACGCGCTTTTGGTATGTTATAGTACATGGAAAAAAGGTCCCAAAAAAAAATTTTTAGACCCCCTCCCCCCTCCTACCCCCCACTTCCGGTATAAACGTCCATTTTCGATCTATATTTTTTCTGAGGACATGAAGCAAGTAAAAAATCTGAAAAAATTCATAAAAATACTTTTCCACAATCCAAACAACCTTGAATTTTTTCAGATTTTTTGAGTGCTTCAGGCCTTCAGATAAAATCATTGAAAATTTCAAAAATCGAGATACGGCGGTATGAGCCGATGTAGTACTCGGAAATTTTTTCAGTTATTTTTCGCATTAAAAAACATAACCTCAATTTTTTTCAGATTTTTTCAGATTACCTAACGCACCTTTTGAAGCCAAAAACCGATTTTTTTGACGAAAATAATTTTTTTAGGACAGTACGGAGCCTCGAAAAATCTGAAAAAAATTTTTTCTTGTTTTTTTCATCAAAATACGTAATCTCAAATTTTTTCAGATTTTTTAATTGAAGGCGATAGCTTCTAGGGCCGAAAAATGCTATTTTTAACAAAAAATGGTTCCTAGAACCCGATGGTTCCGGTGAAAAAATTTGAAAATATTTTTTTTGAATTCCTTGTCAAATTTTAATAAATTTTGACCGTTTCAAAAGTTCGATTGAAGCTTCCTAGCTCATTTTAGAGCAGGACAAAGATTAGTGCAAAATATCTGAAGACGTTTCTGAAGACATTAAGGAATGATAAAACTCGTTTGATGCTCTAAAATGAGCTAGGAAGCTTCAATCGAACTTTTGAAACGGTCAAAATTTATTAAAATTTGACAAGGAATTCAAAAAAAATATTTTCAAATTTTTTCACCGGAACCATCGGGTTCTAGGAACCATTTTTTGTTAAAAATAGCATTTTTCGGCCCTAGAAGCTATCGCCTTCAATTAAAAAATCTGAAAAAATTTGAGATTACGTATTTTGATGAAAAAAACAAGAAAAAATTTTTTTCAGATTTTTCGAGGCTCCGTACTGTCCTAAAAAAATTATTTTCGTCAAAAAAATCGGTTTTTGGCTTCAAAAGGTGCGTTAGGTAATCTGAAAAAATCTGAAAAAAATTGAGGTTATGTTTTTTAATGCGAAAAATAACTGAAAAAATTTCCGAGTACTACATCGGCTCATACCGCCGTATCTCGATTTTTGAAATTTTCAATGATTTTATCTGAAGGCCTGAAGCACTCAAAAAATCTGAAAAAATTCAAGGTTGTTTGGATTGTGGAAAAGTATTTTTATGAATTTTTTCAGATTTTTTACTTGCTTCATGTCCTCAGAAAAAATATAGATCGAAAATGGACGTTTATACCGGAAGTGGGGGGTAGGAGGGGGGAGGGGGTCTAAAAATTTTTTTTTGGGACCTTTTTTCCATGTACTATAACATACCAAAAGCGCGTCAAGATCGGTGACATACGTGCGCACGGTTTTGTAAAAAAGTATTATTTTGACCCATATATATTATATATATATACGTGTAAGCGACAGCTTTTGCCCATGCTACAAAAGCTCTGTACTTTGCACTCAATACCTTGGACTGGCTCCGGTGAGTTTTCTTTGTTATTCTCGTCGTCCGATACACTTGTACACATACACACATACACACACGTGAACTTCTCTCTCAGTCTCCTCTAATACATACGCTCTGAGTCGTGATATACTCTATTAGATCATAGGTGGAGCTTGCGCGCAAAGCAACAACGGTAACAGCAGCAGCAACAGCCCATCCGCAAAGTGACTCTCGATTTTCTTCTACGATGATGACCTACTCCACCCACACGTGTATATACAAAATGTATATATGTATATGCCTTATACATGTACAATCGCGCGCGGCTTTCTCTAGCACGGAAAGCGACAACATCTCGTCTCTTCTTGCTGCTTCGAGCACAGGCACGTGTGCTACTCTCTGGCAGTGCGCGCAACATTGCCTTGATGATAAAATTCTCGAGCATCATCGAGCGCGCATCGAGGCTCCTTTACCACATTGTGTGCGTGTTGGACGCGAGCATACATGCACAGCTAGCAAAGTGTATAAATGTCGCTTTGCAACGACTGAAATAATAATGCTAAATGATCGATATGGATTCGCAAATGAAGGGCAGTCGAGATGCGGACCGAAATAGTTTCCGCAAATGTTATACAAGCAACGAGGAGGTACTCTTGATTCCTTCAGTTTTAAAATTATGCATACGTGCAGCACAGAATGTAGCACACGAAATCATTAGAGCTTTCGCAGAAACAGCCACTCGTACGAGTGCGTGGACACGATTATAAAAAATGAAAAAAAAGGAAAACAGATCTTCCTTCCGTATTTCTCGGTAATTAGGATCATACATTTTAGCCTTGTTGAAAATTGCATACAATTTTTAGCGCACTCTAAGCACGAGGGCGGATTTTACTTTCAAGTGCTTTTTAAAAAAAAGTGTCTCGTACTTTGCTGCAATGCCAGGCCCTCTACATTCATGATTGAATTCCAGGGAAAAATTTACGAACTTTTTACCTACTATCGAAAATGTTTACGGATTTATATAAAAAAATATAAAATAGAAACATGTAAGATACGAGTGGCAAATTAATTTTGAAATTCAAGTTGTATGTAAGAAAGAAATATTTCAGTTATTAAATTTTGCTTTATGATTTTATATTATTCAGAAACAACAAAGTTATAAAGTATTTTGTTGTAAATTATAAATATTGTTGGGCTTAAGAATCAAGAAAAACTACTAAATCGGTGGTGTACAATTTGTATTGACCTCAAAAACATTTTCATAGATTCTGAATATAAAAAGCGATAAAAAATGTAATTATTTATAAATATAAAACTTTGGAGAATTTCCACTAGTGCTACTGTGAAGATTGAAATAGTTTGAAAGTTTTCCGTCATCAGAAAAGTGTAGTTTGATTGTAAAGGCATATTCTTTAAATTACTCATAAATATATTACGAGAAAAGGAAATGCAATAAGATATAAAGTAGCAGCAGGAACAGATCATCGAGGACCCCACTTTGAATTGTCAGACTGCAAAGAGCAAAACGAAAGATGCTCAAATCTTTAGTTCATTAACGGAGCAAGAAAAGAGGAAGAAGCTCGTTTAGCTTTGTTGCATTGCCACTCTGATAATGGGTGCAACAGTTGCCACATGGCAGCTGTTTCTTTTCTTTTTTGGATGCTTGCATGTTCCAATTTATGAAGTATTTTGCCTTTTTATATTATCACAGCGATTTATTTTGAAGTACATCTAGGTTGCGCATAGTCATGTCTAGCATTTTCTTCTTGAGCTTAGCACAGAGAAAAAGAAGAGTGAGTGAGTGAGAGAGAAAGAGAGAGGGTGAGTAAAGTTAAAGGAAGTTTTATCCGTTGTCGGTTGAAATTTTCAACTCGGTATGAAGTTTTTATGGCTTGAGAAAATTGAAGAGAAATTCAATTTTCAAAGACGACCTGAATGTGTTAACGTATATTTTTCACGGCAGGAACTTCAAACAATGATGCCAGGGCCAAAAACTATTGTGTCTGTAATTA